TGCCTCTCCATAAAATACACTTCAACCACATCATCATATTTCATAGACACAAATTAGTGCATAGAGGTGAAACCTTATTTAAATTCATACTTCTTCGAATTTGAAAGCTGGAAGGCGAGATTCTAAAGGCATGCTCCTTAGCATTCTCTGACAGTTTCCTCCATCAGGTGGAAGGTTGGTACTTACATTCCTTATCCTCCTTTTAAAATAAAATATTTTTTATAAAGAATTCCAAAAGAATTCCCAATAAGCCATAGTTAAATAAACTATTAGGTTGAGTTCAGAAATGGGGATTAGTACAGGAGCTAGAGTAATCACATAAAGTCTAGGTTAGGAGAGGCCTTTATACAGGTCTATTTGTTCAACTTACCCTTAACTACCAGCCTATTCAGTTTTCATGTAGAAACATGAAGGACAGAAGTTAATTGAGAGGTGGAAATGACATGCCCATTATACATCTGTGTGCACATATGTACTGTTTCAAGTATGCCAGAGCATGTGCAAGGGTAGAGAGGTCTCAGGATCTGATTCTTATATATGACTCCATCCTAAATTCATATTTTAAAAAAGCTATTCAGGAAGAAATATCTTCATGATTTCCTTCTTGTAGTTTCAAGAACTGTGATTTTGAAATAGGAGTTTGAATTAAGCATTCAGAACTTAAGATGTTTTTTGCATACGAGTCACACTTAGCAATAGTGGGGGAAATCCTATATCCTATGTAAACAGGCAGAGGAGGGGAACTAGAACTAATGTCAACTTGCCTCCAGCAACACACCTCAGGCATCTCTTTGAAAATAGACCTTTCATCAAATTTTCTCTCTTATCTTTTTTGTTTCATGATAACTTCAGAAATATTTCTCATTTTTATTGCAATTTTCATCTTGGTAATACTAGTATTGTTTAAATGTAATAGAATGGGCACTAAATATATAACAATTTATTATGCTTCATTTGTAAAATGTATATCAATCAGTTAAAATGAGTTATGGAAAGGAGACAGGGACATAGTGTTTCAAGATTAAAACAGTTATATTTACCTGTAACCAGTGTTTATGTAATAGAACAGCTACCATTTGCTATTTTGCCCATTAATTTATTTCTCTTTAATTATTTCCCAATAGTCACAACTTCTGCAATTTCAATGTATCTCAGTGGCTGAGACGTGAATATTATTGTAATTAATACAAATGTTCTCAAACTTATGAAAGATCTACAGCAATTTTAGAAACAATAGTAAATATAATTAATCATGGTAAATTTGATGGTGCTTATATACTAAATTCTGTCTAACATGTAATTGAGATAAATTGTTCCTTTGAAAAATGTTGAAAATGCAGGTATTTTCATTTACATAAATAAATTTAATTATCCATGGTGAAATATGGAAAGAAATATCTACTATTCATGTTAATATACTTTAATTTTGAGAGTATATTACCATGTGGCTCTGTATGAAACTTTAATTTTATAGATCTTTATCTCCCATCCTACCTTAACAGTTGCTATATCAAAAATGTTGCATCCTCAAAAGAACACATACTTTTAGATAGGAAAAAATAAAAAGAGATTGCTTTGACTATAGAACAAAGTAAAATAAATGTTCAGGTTTTTAAAGAAAAGAGATTTTCATATTATATTAGTCCAGACAAGGGCCAAATGACTTAGGACTCACAAAAAAAAAAAAAAACTCATTGATTTATGAGAGGTTTATAGGACATTAAGACTGAATGTCATGTCAGTTTTTAGTCATTATTACGTATATGCAAAAGAATTTCACGAGTTAGTATGAGTTGAACAGATTTTACTTTTCCACCTTCTCTAACTATTTTTAAAGAAGGCCACTCTCTCTCTTGGGCATAGGTGGTCTTTATGACCAATGCATATATTTGAGTTGGCTGACTCAGAATGCTGTGGGTAAAGAGAAAGCAGGCTAACTAGCCCACACAGGAATGAGCTCAAAGTTTGGTAGAATTAGGTTATACCACCAAAAATGACTAATTATGTCTAGAAATCCACACCTGAGGCTGTGCTTGCCTTTTTCTCATTCCCTTTTTTCACTTCCCTACTGCTTCTCCTTTTTAATTGAGGACCTCCTATGGGACAGGGAGAGACGTGGCTGAAAGATCAACTACTCACCAGTGAACATTTCTGGGCCTGAAGTGACTGAACAAAGAGAACATTTGGCAGACCTACTGGGTAGGCTTAAATAATGAAACATGCTTGTTACACATCAATAACACTCCAGCAACTTATCTATGATTAATAGCATGTTTTAACTATTCTGTTTAAAAGCACTACTTTTAGAATTTAGACTTGAATTTGGGTGAGAAGCCCTGAACTATTAGAAGTTTTTAAGAATTTGTGTTAAATATGACAGTTTGTACCACATTATTGCTCTGGCCTAAGTTTCATAGGTGTTACCTATTCTAAGAATAAGACATTGGCTAATTTGCCTTATGGAAAACATAGTCTATATTTCAAAAGAAGCAAAGACAAAAGTGGTGCATGCTGTGAAGACAGCCCTTTAAAGAATATTGTGCAGTAAATAATCATGTAAAATTTGACAGGACTTAGGGGTATTTAGCCTAAAGTTGTATCAAGGCCATATGTTACTGTAGGCAATCTCTTCAAATGCATAATTTATAACATCACCTCTGTGACTACCTGAGAGACCTAGGTAGAGAGATGAATTAATCCATCATAAATAGACCCTTAGAGGATTAGTTAACATTTAGCTAAAGTCACAAGGGCAACTGGATTACTAGTTTCAAATGATTCCTCACAGAGGGCTTGTTATATGATACAAAGATCCAATACATTCCCAGAATTTACAATAAATCACTCTGAAATCTTCAGTTTGAATATCCAGGCACAGGAGAGTTTATTGTTGCTTAGGTGTATGTTTTAATTGAGTTATACTATTACCACTAGTAGAGAGAGAGAGAGAGAGAGAGAGAGAGAGAGAGAGAGAGAGAGAGATCATTGGTGCCAAAAATCAGGTATTCAGATAAACATCAAGATGAATAACATCTAGGGGAAAACAATTATGAGAGGTGAGAGGTAAGGAAGAGAAGAGAGAGAAAAAAAAATTAAAATGTAAGAAATATGGAGGAAAAAAGAGAAACAAAGGAGCGTAAAAAAAGTTAAGAGAGGTACAGAGAACTAGAATGAAGGAAAAAGCATTCAAAGTTCTAGGAGCAATTAAATGAAGGGTGAAGAAAAGGGAAAAAATGATAAACAGCATATGACAAGGGATAAAGAACATGATATCATGAGGAGCCCAAACCTGTGGTGTACATGGCTATGAATGGGACACACTTCATTCTGGAGCTGAACTGGAAGAAAACACACAATGGAGGAAGAAGAAAAGCAGCATATGTGCAATATTTGGATATAGATTCACCCCCTTCTATATTGCTACCAACCCAGGTTTTATCTTCGTTTTTTGATGATGTTTCTTCTCACTCTACAATAACTTTCAGAGGACTCGTTCAATCCCACGGCTTCAGCTCCAGAAATGTTGAAGGCTTTTAGGCTATGGAAATTAAGATTCCTCCACAAGAACATACCCACCTACATGGGACATCTCCCCTTAATGGAACCCTAAGCTTAGCATGTGCACAGCTGAATTCTCCATCTTTATTCCTCATATATGTTCTAATTCCTCCTCCACTCCACATTTTGGTAAATGGTGCTATCTCCGCTAACTTGTCCTAACCAGGAGCCAGGTTCTCTCTGTATTGTTTGTTCTTCTTCCAAATGGCTACTAAAATTTTCCCCTCAGTTATTTCTCAGATTTCCCCCTCTCTTCACTCTGCTGGTCTTCCTGACTAGAGGACTTCCCTTCCTCAGTCAGCTCAACTTCCTATGATAAAATTTGGATCATGTTCCTACCTGCTAAAGGCCATCAGCAGACTTCAGGACCCAGTTCAGCCACCTTTCATGACAAGGCACAACTTTCAAGACCTTACTTGGAAACCTCTCCTCCTTTGCTGCCTACCATCTATGACCTCACTCCCATTCCATGAAAATAACTGTTTAAACAACAGAGAAAAGTAACAAGACCCATGCATTTCTTCCATTTTGGAGTTTTGTACCATCTATATATATTTTTTTTTTTAGAGAAAGAGAGAGAGAGAGAGAGAATTTTTTAATATTTATTTTTTAGTTTTCAGTGGACACAACATCTTTATTTTATTTTTATGTGGTGCTGAGGATCGAACCTAGTGCCCCACTCATGCCAGGCGAGTGTGTTACTGCTTGAGCCACATCCCCAGCCCACATCTATATTTTTAAGTTGGCCATTTATATATAGATTGAAGATTTCACTGCTAAGTATGGTTTTACTTGTATTTACAGAGCAAAATTTTTCAAGTAAAAAAGGTAAGGATTGCTTACTATAGCCAGATATATTTTATTTATCTCTTCCCCCAGATGACCCTTTAGCTAGACAGGGCCATATTATAACATTTAACTCACAGTATAACTTGTCCTTATACGTGTTGATGCTCTGCTATTTTTCTGTGGGGCTGTTCTTTGAGATTCACTTTCTCAAGGGGTAGTGCTGATTAAGCAAACACCCTAACATGGTACCTGCACATAACATGGGCTCATCTTCCTTATTAAAAAAAAAGAAAAAGTGCTTTCTCATATCCTTGAGAAACCCAAATATACTAGCATGTTAGCAATAATTACTATAAATTCCCTTGCAGGGAACCAGCTTCTAAGATTTTCAGAGCTTTATGCGTTATAAGGCACAAAATTCTTGTACTATTCTGGCATAATATGTTTTGTATATTCATACAAAACACAGCCATTTACTCCAAATTTCTGTCCCATAACCTTGAATGCTACATGATGAAAAATGTTAGCAATCACAGAGTCACAGATGTGTCTTGGTCATCAGCGCCAACACAGTAACTAAATATTTTTACACATGAAGCAACCTGGCAAACAATGGGAGATAACTAAATTTTTGGCAACAGCTGGGGACTCACCTTTTCTTCATTACCAACACAACTCCAAGAAATATAATAACAAACAGCAAGATGCCAGCAATGACTCCAGCAATTTTAACCGTGTGGTCTGTTTGTTTCTCAGGTTCTGGGACTGGTTTTGGAGTGGCAGCTCCTGAAGATGAAAGGAAATGAAACAGGAGAGAGAGAGTGGGTAAGAGAATAAAGATGTTACATTTAAATTTTTTTTTCTGCGTTTAACAGAGTAATAAGACTTATCAGAGCCAGCAGAGGAGCTTTGATTTTTTTAAACAGCTTTCATATGCACTGAAAGGACTATAATTGTTCACGTTGTTCTTCAATATTTTACTAAACCACAGCACACCCACGTCTGACCCCTTTATAAGAGACTCCTCTCAAATACAGTTTTAAAATATTTTTATTATCTCTCTTGGCTCCTGCTCTTTCTACCATTTTAAAACTTGCTAACAACACAATAGCTATCCCTAAGCCTTTATCCAAATTTGATTTGCTGGAACATTTTCCTCAATTATTTTTCATAAATGAAGCAATAATTCCATAACATATTAGCCCAAACACCTGGAAAAGTAAGATAAGCTCATTTACCATGCATTTTACCAGCAATTGTTTTTTAACACAATAGAGTTTTTCCCCCTTGCCTTTGGAAATCAAAATCTAGGTCACATCTGGTAGGCAAAAGACTCCTTCTAAGCAATTTATTCACAAAGTGGGAAGCAGCTGGTGATCACACCACTGGCACCCACATTTAATATCTGTTTAAATGAGATAACCAGGGACTTAAAGAGGAGGCCACGTCTCAGCTCTCCTGGCTTCCCATTTCCAACACACCGTTTGTCCTTTTTACGATATAATGTGATGGAATGTCAAATCCATGTTTGATGAAACATAAATTTCCTCTGCTAAATGAGTTCACGATGAAAAATATTAGGAATGCAATGTTCAATTCACTAAACAGAAATTATTTTTTTCAGAGCTTCTCCATGGCATACCAGGATGGGATGGTGCTTGGTGTTTGAGCTACCATGCAACCCATACTTGGTAGACAAAGGTTATTTCATGCCCAAACTTCTCACCTTAGACTTTTCTTTGTGCTTTTGTTGGTAAAAATGTAATTAAAATTGAATCAACTTTTCCTCTCCTTCTGTAGGTGTTTCTACTTAGTAATCCTCAATTCCTGACAATTGAAATCTCACCACATCTGTGCCTTTGTGCACAGAAAACTAGACAAATTCTAATGTAAGTCATGGCTGAGAAATAGGGGGTGTTGGAACATGCAAATCTCATTTCTTCCTCATATCAAGATTTTTTCCAAGAAACCTTATATCCTGAACATGGCTGTGACCTGACCTGACAAAGTTGGTCAAGATCAGGTGAGAGATTTGAAGTAAAAGATTCAAGGCCATGTTTATCTTGAGATTCTACCACAGAGGCACACTTAAAAGAAGGGATAGTCATAATGAGAGCACACCTTAAGCAAAAACCCTTCTGGATAAAGCTTTACAGGCCACTTTTATTTATGACGAGGTCAAGAGATGTTCTGCTATTTTGTTTGAATGAATGTCCCTTATACTAGTTGTCTAGTTAGATGTTGAAAGTATTAATGTTAATTATTTTAATGGACATTATACACCTGAAATATCTAACAAACCACTGGAATATACAACCAGATGGTCATCTTGGAAGAAACTCTTATGTTAAATAAATTGTTAAGAAAAACCTAAAAGTCGGGCTGGGGATGTGGCTCAAGCGGTAGCGCGCTCGCCTGGCATGCGTGCGGCCCGGGTTCGATCCTCAGCACCACATACAAACAAAGATGTTGTGTCCGCCAAAAACTAAAAAATAAATATTAAAAAACACTCTCTCTCTCTCTCTCTCTTAAAAAAAAAAGAAAAGAAAAACCTAAAAGTGAAATGGGTATGTCATAAAAATAAAAATAAAAAATAAAAAAAATGATGCAAAAAGAAACAGTACTTCAAATTCAGAAACTGAAAAATTCCAATGTTTTGCAAATTTTATTTTATGTCATATATATATATATATATATATATATATATATATATATATAAATGTGGATTTTACTCTTCCAAATGCTCACATATTGTAAGCCATTCCATTTATCTCATTAAGTTAGCATTTACCAGTTCTCCAAATATATTTTCTAAATACATAAATGATTTAAGATTTTTTAATTTCATTTTTGGTAACTAAATCATGTTAGTAAATGCAAGAGCTGGGGGAAAATGTTTAGAAACACTTTAGTTAAAAAATTTAAACATAAAATGTAGTAAGATACAACCTATATATCATAAATACTCAGTAACAGATGAATAAGTCTCGTTAATAGTTACATTTGCTTCTGTTGAGTGAATAACTGGCTATCTTTATTCAGCATTTTACCTGGGCTCATTAAGAACTGTTCATGACTCTTCTGCTTTGGGACAAAGACAGGTAGTCACCCTTAGTTGTTTGTTCCCTGTTGGAACACAGGCAAGCATATCATTATGCAGCCATTGTAAGCTCCATATTATCATTCTTTAGGACTTACTTTTAACTGATTTCCCTTTGCAGGTCAAGAAAATGAAATGTTCTCTTTCTGTGTGACATAGTTGCAACATGATTATGATAGCAGTCATTTGCAAAATGGCACAGTGACTCAAAAAAATGGGGACAGTGGCCCATGATCAACCTTCTGATGGGTTCAGGTGTTTATTTGGGTTTAGGTTTCTCTGATAAAGCAGGGACACAACCACAAAGTGGAGATGAAATAAGACACATGCCTCAGACAATCTGATGAGCATGTCCTTGGCTCTGGGTGCTCTGTGGGTGCAGGTGGTGTCTGCCTTTCTCATGTGTGCTCTGTCCCTCTTGCCCTTCCTAAAATGGGCATGTCTAGAACCACATCTCTTAGGTTGCTCTTCTCCCTGCTTTCATTTCTTTGGAAACATGTGCCCGTGGTTAGGAGCTATCAATAACCTTTGGACAATTTGTGACAGATTATGATTGCAACTGATAGTTGCTTTTTTTAAAAAAAACATTATTTTTGTCTTTCCTCACCGGCATCTATGAATTTAACAGCACGATTTACAAACTGCTTGGCAAAAGAGTTGTTTTTGTAATATTTTCCCCTCTGCCTTGTTATTTTCTTGTCAGTATTCCAATGGAGTATAAACTTTTATACTTTTTTCTGTATAAATTCTAATTTTTTGAAGAAAGGCATTTTTTTAAAATCTTGTGTGCATTTTGTTTAGAGAATACTGTATATTTTGTTTCATTTGAGAGTGGGCATTGGCTAATAAGCTTGACCATATTAACAAAGATAATGAATATGCAAAAATATTACAGAGACTAGAAATGAGGCTACTGAAATATAGCACACCCTCCTTGCAGATGCCCAATCTTGACTCACAGTGCCAGCTCTGGGTACTTTGTTTTAATGACCAAGCAAATAAAAAAGGGTGATATTCCAGTCCAACTCCATTATTTAAAGTTTCAATTATGACATCTAGTATGAATAAGAAAGTTCAGAAGAAAGGGAATGATTATCCAATGTGGTATTTGGTTGGTTTTTAACTTGGCTGGAGACAAGTCAGTTTTGGCCCATTTCTGAATGTTAAATTAAATAACAGCAGCAATCTGGGCCTAGAACAAATGTACTTAGCCACTGGCTTGAAGTCTAGATCTGATGCTGACTACTGAACTGGCTGCACAAATTCTCCCAAAAGTCTGAAGGGGACAAACCCAGAAGGCCACAAAGGCCATAACTGATGCCTGGAACTACTGACTGTACTCTGAGTGGCCTTACCTGGAAAGAGCAGACACATTCTCAGAGGCCAGGTCAGAAAAGGTTGAGGGGACAGCCTGGCATTAGCATACCAATGGAAGTCCTTGCAAAACACTGATTAATGCCAGGCTGACCCTGAACGTGGAAGAAAACATCAGCAATGATGTTCTTTTATTCAACAAGTGTTTCCCGAGGACCTAATAATGTGTCATGCACTATATTCGGTATATATGGCAATAAGCAAATCGACAAGGCAAAGCCCTCTGTCTTCCTGGAACTTATGTTCTTATGGAGAAAGACACAAATGTAAACAAATAGGGTAGACTGTATGTGAACAGATGCTCTGCACTCTCCTTGAGTGCGGAGAGGCATTCAGCAGAATGTATGGGTTGGTTAGTAAGATGGGAATCAGAAGTAATCACTGAGAAAATGGCACTGGGCTGAGACCTGAAAGAGAAAAAGGGTGACATGAGGTGAAGCCTCCAAGGCAATGGTAAGGAATAGTTCTGAAGTGCAAGATGAGGTTGAAACACTAAGAGGGACTGGAGTGGAGAGATCTGGGAAAGTGGGGACATGATGTTGCAGCAAGAATTCTGCTTTTTCTCTATTTCAGATGGGAACTGCAGGAGGATTCTCAATACAGGAGAGAGGTGATTTGGCTTATATTTAAGAGGTTCATCCTGGCAGCAGGTGGCATAGCAGACTGTAGGGGGTTCATGATGGTATTATGGACATTAATTTTAAGGCTATCACAGTAACTCAAGCACAAATCTATGGATGGCTAGAACATAATGGTAGAAGTAGAGTTGGGGATATGAGGTCCAACTTGACATATATTTTGATGGCCGGGCTACTGGTCAGTGAATTAGATGTACAGTGCTTTAGAGTAACATCCACTTGCACTTGGTAGGAGTTGCATGAGAGATAAAGGTGCCATTTACTGAAGAGAGTAGTGAGTGTTGGAGGAACAAATTTGGAGATTGGGTGGGGCAACCATGAATTTAGTTTTTAGTCCACTCAGGTTTGAGGTACTGACATCCAAAGGAGATATTAAACAGGCAGTTGGATATACAGGAGAGAGATCTCAGTTTAGAACAAATTTTGGACTTTCATAATAAAAGAAGATGGTATATAAAGCCATGAGTTTGCATGAGGACATTTGGGAAGTGAACACAGAAAAGAGAAGGTGACTCACGAAGAGGGACTAGCCAGCTGAGGGAGGAGGGAAATTGGATAGGAGTAGAAGGAGCTGAACATAGACAAAGTGGGGCCCTCCTGGTAGAGCAGTCAGGAGGCATGCAGGGAAATCAATTGAGTTTTGTTTTTTTTTAATGAAGATGGGGGGGGAATTA